CTCTCCATATTTAAAAGGGCACCAACCAAAAACTACTGCGTAGAATTAATTGGAATTTTTCACACACAAGCCTTGCTATATGAGCTCTCAAAGCATATAAAAATTATACGGCTTAAATGTGAAGTTGGGTGCAAAAGAATACAATTAAATCCTCTGTCGGGAAAAAACGAAATGACTTTTCGAACAACCCTATATTTAAAGCTAACTAACTCCTTGGTAGATACTAATACTGCTATATCATCAGCAAATCTAAGCATACTAATTTTTTGTCCTACAGTTGTACTGTCTTTAATGATGTTGATCGCAACTTCGATGTACAGATTAAAAAGTAGCGATGACAGTGTGCATTCCTGTCTGACTCCCTTCCGAATATTTACTTCTCTACGTTGCAGCCCAGCTCTATAACTGCTTGTTGCTCTTTATACAAACTAAGTATTTCCCTTCTATTTTTGTAACTCATTCCTACGATTTTGAGTATATTTAAAATCTTGTCCCATTTAAGCCATTTGTCCCATAAGCTTTTTTCTAAATCTACAAATCCTTTGTACGCACTCTTTCTTTTTTCTATCGTTTTCTTTATTGTTACCCGTAAAGCTAGAATGACCTCCCGCGTTCCTCTATTTCTTTTAAGCCCAAATTGATCTTCCCCTAATAGTTCTTCCGCCCTTTTTTATATTCTCATCTGTACAGTTCTAGTTAAGATTTTTGACGCACGGGAAGTTAAGCTAATTGTTCCGTTTATAATCCTCTGGAACTTCCCCGTCTAATAAATATGACTAATTTAAACTAGCTTAAATATACAATCTTCACCTCTTGTCCTGCATGTTTTAGAATTTCAATGAATACTTGTAACATAATAATAATCCTACACTAAAACAGAGTGGATGCCGTTCTTCGTTTTTTTTATATATGAAAATTTGAATGAATTAATTATNTTTCTTTGAACGGTTTAATTGCTTTCCCGGAACGCAGGTACGACACACACGTTTACAGATACGGCGCACATAAAGAAAAGCGCCCGCGGCTAGTCGGCGAATCGATACGCCGCTAACACACACGTATGCCCGTTGACACACAATCACGCTCATGGTCGCTACAATACGTATTCGAATCATTATTATTCTGAATATTATTTTAATCCGATCACGCATCATTCGAATATCAAAATCATCCGAATATTTACAACACTAAAACATGCAGATAAATAATGACGTTTGAGAAGCATACTTTTTTGTGTAGATTGTTCTCGAGGAGCAGAAATCTTCAAAACACCCCATGAAGGGAGATAGTGTCAGATTTTTACCGACTAAAACCTCCAACTAAGAGTGAGAGGAAGGGGTGGCTCATTGTAGAAGGTGACAGGGTCTTTTGGTTTCGGTGCGAAGTTGGAGAGTGTCGAAATGGCAGGTTTGCGTGGCCTAACACTAAGGCCCGCTGATTTGCCGCGAATCAGAAGGTAAACCGGTTTCATTCAGAATTTGGTTGTTTCTGACGAACCAGGGGTAGAGTAGTGCGGAACGAACGATCCTCATGTAGGTGCCTTGCAGAGGTTCCGGGCGGTGGGGAAGGGCGCTGGCCCAAAAAGGAATGGCATAGGAGCAAATTTGATTCTGATAATGATTGCGTTAAATGCACGGATTATCGTATGTTGGGCGATGGAGTGGTTTCGGAAGAACAAACGGAAGTGGTGAAGCTGTATGATGGCGTTTGTGATGTTGCGCAGTGCGGTTATGTGCTTTGACGGCAGGACTACGAGGACTCTGTTGGGAATTCCATCGGCGCCAGGGGATTTTATCCTTTTCAGAGAACGTATAGTAAGGGAGATTTCATGGGGTGTAGTGTGTCTAATGTCGGAATTCGGGAGGACGCAGTTTTGGAAGACGGCTTTGGTACACGAAAGTCGGCAAGGTCCACTGGACTAGGTAGTGGGGAGCACTGGAGGCATAAAGAGCCTGCGAAGATTGCAGCTCTTTTTTCGTCTGAAGAGTAGGTGGAGCCGATCTGTTTTAGTGGCGGAAGATGGAGAGCACTGTTACGGAGAGAACGGATCACTTTCCATGTGCTTGAGGGATGTGTTTCTGTCTGTACATTAGCTTAAATTACTTAACTTACACCTAGTACAATGGTTGTTGTGTTTCTTTTGTAGTTCAATAAAATTTTAATTTTAGTGAGAAATATCGTGCAGTAATGTGCAATAAGGATGCTTATAGTGTGTTTTAGTGATTTATATCTTTTGGATATAGTTTTTAATTGCAGAAGGCAAAATTAACTATTATGAGTTTTAGTTGTAATTTTCTTGTTTATTTTAACAAAATGTCTCATAATTCAAACTATAAATCATGTTTAATATGTGGTAAGTATGGTTATATATTTTTATTTCCAAAAAAATAATGAAATGCGAAAAAAGGGATAAGTGTAATATCACGTAAAGATTCGACTCCATCAAAATATTCTGCAGTTTGCATACATCACTATAACGAAAATAACATTATAAAAACAGTAAAAAAAGTATCCACTGTCGGTTATGTTTTGAATGTGCTTTCAACATATCCAAAATTACGAGAAAATGATGAAACAGAAATTTACAATGTTGAAAATTCTCCCTTAGACATGTCAATCTATTTAAATTTTGAATTCCGATTATTTAATGAATTGTGATCTAGATGACTCCTTAATTTACATTTCAGGATATACAGTTCATTTTGCTCGCATAAATCAAACGAAATCCTTTATTATTTAACAACAAATATCAGGATTTAAACATAAAATGTAATAGGTATTTACTTATTTTTTATATTTATGCCGTTGTAAAACGAAGTCAAAGATTGTGCACTTAGTGCAATAAAACTAGCACCGAGAAGTGTCCTAAGGCGCTTTCGCTAGCGTCCTGCAGGTAACTGATTTCAAGTTAACCGAGCGGCATGGCCTGTAGGTTTAGACCACTACTTAGCATTCGGGAGGACACCGGTTCGATTCCGGGTCCGTCTGCCTTGGTCCAAGTTTTCTGTGGTATCCTTGGATCACTTAGGCAAATGCTGGGGCAGTAATATTCCATAGATAATCTTTCATTCTCTTTTGTCTTCATTTCGTCCGTCTCAACTTTCTCACCCGAACAACCACTCACCCATTCCCACGATTCCTGAAAGCAGGCTGAAGAGGGCCTTCCGCCTTACCTTCCGGCATATTCCGGAGGGACTGCCCGCCCACCAGGATTACTGGCTGATGGGAATAAAACACCCAAAAGTTTTTTGATTTCAAGCAGTTCCAATTCTAATTCTATTTATGCAACATCCATATTTTCTATATCCTTTCCATTTCTTATTTCAAGTTAAGCGTTAAGTAAAAAGTAAGTTAAGTGTAAGTAATAAGAAGTTAACTTTGTTTTAGGGTGTTTACGAGTTTCATATTCCAACACGCACATATTGGGATATGTGATTCCATCTGTAGCACAGACCGGACTCCAGATAGAAGGACAATTACACAGATCGTTGCCTTGACATTCAAAACAGCAGCCTAAGAACAACAATACCAGTAAAACCACCTTCATTTCCATTGATCTCGTGATCATATTGACACCTAAGGGAATATAAATGAATGAATTCTACTGTGGAACTAATAACTGTGTTTCTATTTTGAAATATGTTCCCGGCTTTCTTTTTGTTTTGTGAAATATTCACGGCGTTTATAAATGTGTTTGTATGTTAGTAAATTACTTCCAATTGTTAATTTGGTTTTTATATGAGAACTGCGAGGTCTCATTGCCAATCAGCTAAATCCAGGAACCCCTAACTAGATTTCTCCCGAAGCAATTATGTGTAGTTCTTGGCCTTAGCAAAGTGGCGCCCAAGTTCTATTTTTTTTAATATTATCCATTTTGCATACATAACGAATAGACAAGCTTAATATTACTTTTTAGAAGTTTAGAGGTCATAATTACCGAGCACGCGGCACCACTGCTTCCTAAGGTAATAATGTCTTAAAAAATTACTAAAACAAATGGTATTCAGTGAGTTTTTATTTACTCTTTAAAACATTTTTTTAATTTGTTTCAATCAAACACTTTTCTTGTCAACTTCTTCTTTAGGTTCCATCGCAAGCTCCTCTATGTTTCATCTTTAGTCCACGCTTTCGACGTGCTTCACACTTCAGCCAACACTTATTAGGATATGTTTGTCCATCTGTTCCACAAACTGGATTATATTCACGAGTACAAGTACATGCGTCTTTACCTTGAATTGTAAAACAACACCCCAATAACAACAATATCAATAAAATCACATTCATTTCTATTGATCTCTTTACCAAATTCACAACTAAAGTAAATATAAATGAATGAATTCTACATTCGTGTTTTGAAATATTAAATACACGCGAAAACAATTGATCATTAATTTAGCCTACACATACACAAGACAATTAAAATAAACATGTTTAAGTATGTGATTTTTGCTACATTAATAAAGCGCTTTATTGCAATTACTTTATATGTATTAAGTATCCATTAAACCATATAATTGATATCTATCTGTATGATTGTTGATCAATAAATGGACGGTATCACACTTTTATTTGTTTAAAATCAATTTACTATACACAAGAAAGTACATTTTAAGTCTAAGGACCCATATCAGTCGTTTGTAGACAAATGAAATTTTTTAATCATGGATTACTCTTTTTATGCAAGATAGAAGAGTGGTCGAAATCATACATCGAAGCTCTCATTATTATCTAGTTTTCGTTTTCCTTTTGTTTAGAAAAACCTTAGAACTTATTAAATAAATTCCAGCCACATTGTAATGAGAACCTGCTCTTCGGGCAAATGGCAGTGTCGACAGAATACAGACCACTTCGAATTATTTTATTCGATTATGGTAACGTGCCTATCACGTTGAGGTTAGCTACGCAGGGATTCGTTTTAGCAAGTAGATATCCATATATTTAAATGGACCTTGTTGAAGCAAACGTAATCCTAAAATGTAGCATTGTACTACAGATAGCGTTTACCACGCCATTTGTGGTATTTTATATACAAAAATGTTATCATTTTTTAGGAAGTTTTTCAAATATATTGATTATATTTCAAATATGAAGTGGTAACGCATCCAGTCACGACATGTTGCCTTTCATTTACCCCTTACTTCATTTGATGAAAAAAAATTGTTTTTGTCTGCTACGTACCATCAGAAGAACTAAAAGGCCAATGTCTTCGCAGACAACAACAGTTGCATTAGCAACCGATTCTTCCATTGCAGTTTCAATAATTAAAACATCTACTTTTAAATGTTTCCATGAGCTTTGCAATAATTTTTTTTAATTACTTTTCAAATAATTTCAAAAGATCCAGAGACCATAGTGGTTCTTCATGATTGCTCCATAGCCTTGATATTTTTATTATTGTCGTCATATCTACCAATACAACGATGACGTTACTTACAAAATGATTTTGAATATAATTTGCATATCTATTAAAAACCCCAAAGAAAAGTATCATTTTGCTGCCATATACCTCGGTATATATAACACTAAGGGCTTCGTTTACTCCACTTCCCGCCATTATATTGCCTATACATCCTAAAAATGACATCAACATATGAAATCCTACTATTCTCACAATCACTGTCAACATTTCTGATCCAGGTTCACTAGCAGCTTCTATTTCACGTGCCTTCGTGAATAGTGGTTGATCAAATGTAACAATACATATGTTTTACTATTATTAAAAAGCTGTTTACAGCACACTTTAATAAACAGTATTGTAATTACCCGCTTATCTTTTTAACATAGATGGTCAAGAAATTGATTCTAACCTGGTAGGCCTCGCACACATTCCCACATGCCATACATCCAACATATTTTCAATTGATACTTCTTTATAATTAATGTCTTTAGCTGCAATTTTACAGCAGTTCAGACACAGTATGATTTTCATACATGTGGAGAGGCATCTGTGAAAGTCTTTCTAATTCTTTTCATCTTGGTACTGGTGTACACATAACGATTTGTAGGTTATAAACAATTTGAGGGGAAATTATTTTGATAATTCCCATTTCATACAGTGTATTGTGACCATATAATGTAGATACGTTGATATCCGCATTATCAGCTGCATATTGAATAGGAGAACTTGATTCTGGTGGTAATAAATTTGAGAAGGAGAAATGATAAATAGTTGAAACTTCGTATTCTACAGTTTCTTTATAGGAAACTAAAAAATCAAAATTTGCTAATACGTATATAAACCGTTTCGATCCATACTCCGATGTAAAAATACAGACGACCAATCAATAACTGCGACCAGAATGATAGTGGTCTCACTGAGGACATAATAACATTACTTATAGCCGCACACTTGGTTTTCAAATTGTCCTTTTTTATTTTTTATTTTTTTTTTTAATTACAGGCTTTCAGGGATTTCCGCATTAACGTTTGAGAACATATCACCGAGAGGAGGATATGATTTAGTGGTAACAATGGTACTGCGGATATCTTCTCTTATACTAGTTGCTGCAGTTTCAAAAATTCGTAAACGTTCTTCTTCAGAATATTCGCGTGTGTGTAATAATATTTTTGTCATATATTTTGATTAATTTTGTCTGTACCGTCACATCTGTAGATGCATCATCTCCTTGCAATTCCTTGAGCTCTACCATTGTAGATTCGTAATTGTCATGATTTTCAATGTAATCAAAAATTATTTCCCTATCCGCAGCCATTAGTTTATCTATGGTCGAACGTTCTTGCTATTAAATAGGGGCTTACAAAACCTACTGTAACACGGCTTGTTATAATTGGCTTTTGCAGCAATCAAATCAAATTCACTGTTGATACGATTTACCATTGTTCCGTTAAATTGAATGTCACTGATATTTGCTACATTTATAAGATTTTATTTAAATGATATTGTACTGACATTGCATATGCTTACTCTTCTATTTTTGTTTTTTATCTCAAGATCTATGCTGACAGGATCAAAACAGAATAAACACATGTTTTCAAAATCGAAAGAGCTTGACGCTGATAGTCTTTCCTACGGTGAATAGCGTTGTGATGTACTCGGGCATTCTCAAATGCGATGCCTCTTATATACTTCTATATTATTTTTATTTACATAATCCCTTCGGCACTCAATATGTATTGTTACAGTATTAATATTAGCTAAATTTTGAAATCATGTTCCACAGTTATGACGAGAGTTGCACATCATCATAACGTTGTCAGTCCTAAAACAGGTTAGAGACACACCTCCACTCTTTCCTATCCTGAGCTAATCTTCGCATTTCCCTAAAACTAGAACAACCCATATCCTTAATTATTTTTTTTATGTTTTCGTGGTAGAACTCTCGGGGGAACCTGACCCCTAGAGAGCGCGTCCCCAGGTGGCGGATGGGGAAAAGCTCGCCAACCAATGGTTCGAGGGTAGGAGGGAAACAAAATACCTCCCGCGGACCAACAGGTCGGAGAGAAAACTCCGCTATCAAACCCAGCCACGGAGCTCCTTCGTCGTACTTGGAGCAGAGGTCCTCGGCTGTGATGGGCTCTCAGGTCGGAGGGTTCATTAGAGTAGGCGGCGAAAGAACTCCACATGAGTCAACGGCGACGCTCAAGTCTTTCAGGAAGACTACGACCTTGAGGTCAGGTGGCAATCGATCGTAAAACAAAAGCCAATATCTATACTGGAATGAGGCAAAACAAGAAAAGAGAGAGCACTAAATCTAGGGCGTCCCCCTCAAGCGACGGAGAATATAGAACTGCGAATGATATTAGGGCGTTCCCCCCAAGCGATGAAAAGAAACTACAGGCCACCGCTCCAATGTCGCATACGCGGACGTCAGGCTAGATGGCGTAGCTCTACCTAGAGTAAACACTTTCAAGTACTTGGGTTTCGTTATCTCGGCGGATGGATCCATTGAAGCGGATATAGCTCATTGGACAACCTGTGGGTGGAGTAAATGGCGTACTCTTACAGGAGTACTGTGTGATAGCAAAATGCCAATTAGAACAAAAGGCAAGGTCTATAAAACAGCTGTTAGACCAGCTCTCCTCTACGGCAGCGAGGTAAAGCCATGTACAGAAGCTACACACGACCGAGATGCGAATGCTGCGCTGGGTCGTGAAGAAGTGCCTTTCCATGGCTACAAAGAAGAGAGGGAGGGGAAGGCCCCCAACTACGTGGATGTCGAATGTTCGCAAACCGAGCGGCATGGCCTAGAGGTCTAGACCATTGCTTTGCATTCGGGAGGACGCCGGTTCGATTCCGGGTCCGTCTGCCTTGCTCCAAGTTTTTCTGTGGTTTCCTTGGATCACTTAGGCAAATGCTGAGGCAGTAATATTCCACAGATAATCTTTCA